GCCGAGGACACTATAATCTTAGTTCACCTGCAGAAGAACTCTTCTTCGACTGGCTGCAGACAGAAAATTTAGTCGTAAGAACTCGAGAAGATGATGAAGGCCGAGCATTATTTACGTGGTCCCACTCTAGTGCAGTTGAAGTAGATGAAGTTCAAAAGGGGTCATGCCTTGATTACATTGCCACTTCGTCCGATCTTGCATCTTGTGGTACAAGTATCGACCTGAGTGGTTTCGATACAGGTCGCGAGAAGATCGATCATCTGCCTGTAGGGATCGAGTTCAAGACATGGATCGGCACGACATTCCAGAATATGCCAGAGAGAAAGCCTCGTGTTGATGTTGACATCATTAACACTCCGGCAGGAGAGGCTATCTGTAAACAAATTGCACTGTCAATTCCGCAAATCCCGTGGGAAATTGATGCGACCTCCCATGCGCAGATTCTTGAAGAGCATGTGAGTGCTGCTATGTTACAACATTTCCCTAAGCCTAAGAGGCAGCCAAAGAAACCCTTCCTTGACCAAGAAGCTATCCAGTTGGTCAGACAGAGACGTCTCACACAACGCTGGTTGAAGCAGTTAAAAGCCTTTCGTCGTCTTTGCCAGACATGGTTCTTCTTTCAAGCATGGAAGTACCATAAGTGTGAGGATTGCTCCTTGCCTGACTTTCGTAGCTGGAACTCGGAGGGAGGCAGATGCCAAGGACAACTCGACCTTTTTGCGAGAGATCTGATGAGAAGGTACCAGAATGTAGCAAACCACAAGTTGCGGGCCTATGTATCAGATTCGGTTACAGTAGCCTCGCAAGAAGGATTGGATCATCTGTTCCAACGGCTGAGAAAGCTGACCAAATCTCGAAAACACAAGACTAAGTTCAGCTTACCAGCTCTCCAAAAGCCAGACGGGGAAGTAGCCAATACGCCTCTTCAGGTTTATGAAATATGGGAGAAGCATTTCCAAGAATCTGAACGAGGTCAGTTTGTTGATTCGATGGCCCTGCAGCATGAGCACGAAGAAAAAGCATTTCAGCGCTTTGTGGAGACTGCTCAATCCAACGAAGTGTTTACTTCGGCTGATGTCCCCACGCTTCAAGAGTGTGAACAAGCGCTATTGAAATTTGCCAGAAAGAGAGCGCCGGGACTCTCTGGAATACCAATTGACCTCTTGAGGAATGCTGCACCAGACTTTGCACGCAAAGCTTATCCACTTGTGCTCAAATCTGTACTACGATTCGAAGAGCCGCTACAGTGGCAAGGCGGCCTCATTGTGCCGATCCCGAAAAGCAATGGAATCTCACCGCACGCAAAAGATTGGAGACAGATTAGTCTTCAAGAGGGGCTGGCAAAAATGACGCATAGAGCATACCGTGAGAAGCTGATGCCATATTTCGAGTCTTTTGCCTCCCCACTGCAAGGAGGAGCCAGAAGAGGCATGCCAACGTCACTGCCAGCGCAAGCAGTACGATTGTTCCAAGGTGCCTGCCATCAGAAGAAAATCAGCTCAATGGTGATATTCCTAGACGCAAAGCAAGCATATTACCAAATTGCTCGGGACGTGCTATGGTTCCGGCAGTGGCCACCAGATAGGCAAAGGGATTTCCTGGGTCGCATGCCATGTTCGGAGCACATGAAGCGGCAAATAGGAGAGGTATTCTCTGTTCGCTGTCCACTTGAACAATGTTCTGTGCCCAGCAAGATAGGTAACATCATCCAATCACTCTTTGAAGATGTGTGGACCACAATGGGAGTCAAAGGCATGCCGTCATGCTCCATGACTGGGACGCGTCCGGGAGACCCGCTGGCAGATCTCCTGTGGTCAATCGCATTTGGGAGTGCAATCCGACAGTTAAAGTCTGATTTTACCGAGCTTGATCTCGTTGTACAGCTTGACAGTAGAAGGTTCACATGCCTTCCAATATGGGCTGATGACCTTTGTGTACTAGTGTCGCATTCAGATCCATTCCGATTGATCGAACTTGCCAGCATAGCCTGTAATCGCCTTTCAAAGGCATTCGCTAGCTTAGCTGTCGAGCTAAATCTTGGAAAAGGAAAGACTGAAATTATTTTCAGCTTCCATGGACTAAATGCCACTAAGGCCAAGCGCCAAGTTGCAATAGATATGGGCAATCAGATCTCATTTCAGGATTTTGAAGGCACAAATAGGTTCGTGCATGTTGCTAATACCTATAAGCATCTTGGAGGGCTAGTGGGTAGAGCTCACCAATTTCGAACGGAAGTCCGCTCTAGAGCAGGGATTGCCGGCAGCGCTTTTCGAGCTCTACGCAAGCATGTCTTTGCTAATCGAAATATCTCCAGAGAAGTCAAGCTGCACATTTATGACGCAATTGTTAGATCTAAGTTCTATCACCATGCGTCATGCTGGTCATTTACGACGCAACAGGAATGGCAAGTGTTTGATACGGCTGCATTCCGGCTCTTGAGATCACTTGCAGTGGTCCTGCATGGACATGAGTGGAAGGAGGCTTCCAACGAGAAGATTGTTGCCAGATTAGGAGTTTTGCATCCGAGACAGCTACTGAGAATTGAAAGGCTACGGCAATTTCAAAAGATTTGTCAGTTTGCTGATGCGGATTTCTGGGCAATCTTGGAGGGAGAATCAAACTGGCTCCATAATATGCTATACTCTGACCTGCTCTGGCTTAGAGAGAATCGTCTGTGCCCAGACTGGCTTTGTATTCCTGAGGCTTCACAGGTTCAAGGTCTAGCTACATTATTGGCAGACAAAGGGGCAGAATGGAAGACGCATCTCAAGCAGGTAGGAAAAGCATGTCGCCATCATGCTCAGAGGTTGCAGGAAGCCCAGGAGTTTGAATGTAAAGCACTCCAGATGCTGAGACAAATTGGCGTCATTTCTTTCGAGCAGACACACGGTAATATGCAGAAAGCAGTCAAAGTTCCTTCCGTTGCCAATTTTGCGATAAGATTTTTGGCACATTGAAAGCCCTTGGAGTGCACAAGCATAGACAGCATGAAGTCTTCTCTGCACAGTATTACTATGCGAAAGGAGACACATGCCCGGTCTGCCTAAAGTATTATGGCAATAGTGAAGCGCTTCAGCAGCACTGGCAATATAAGAGGGGCACATGCTGGAGCATTATCCAGGAAAGTGATCTCGACCCGGAAGATTTTGGAGGTGATAGAATTGCCAGAGAGTTCGAGATTCCGCCGCTAGCGGGAATGCAATGTGCAGGACCCAAAGCATGGTGGTCTACACTTCGACCTTTGGTGCAGGATGAATCGTCGGGTGTCGAAAATGCAGAAGCCTTCGAGGAAGCTGCAATCCATTACCTCCTCAGCTTAGCTCCTGTTGAAGAAGAACTGCACTCATTCTTAGATGGCGTTAAAAGCGCAGCATCCTTTTTGCTTCGCACCTTCGGCCAAGAGTATTTAAAGCAGGAGGGCGCAATTCGCATGGCAAGCAAGACCATCGCATTATGCTCTCCGGAACATAGAAGATACTTTGGTCGTGTCTGGGACGTCCTGAAAGGACTATGGCAACAAATTGCAGTTCCAACCGAGTCCCTGGACTGGAATGGACTCATTTGCGGCAATATAGCGTTTGTTGTTGACTGCAACTTTCGTGCATTGTCCTTGGACTGTGTTCCCAAGCAAAGAGCCAAATATGTGCTTCATCTTTTCAGTGGTCGTAGACGTGAAGCGGATACCCAGTACTGGATTGAAGAGCTTGCAAGACAGATGGGCTGTTCAGTGATTTGTCTTTCGTTCGACCTCGCAATAGATGAAAGATGTGACCTACTCGCTGTACAGGCACAGTCTTGGCTGAGGCAGATGGTCAAGGCGGGTCGCATACTGGCGCTCATAGCAGGTCCGCCATGCGAAACCTGGTCAAGGGCGAGAGGAGTCCGTCTTCATGACGAGGGCAGTGTCAACCAGCCCAGAGTCCTCCGAACCAACCAGGAACCTTGGGGGATGGTTGGAATGAGTCAGCAAGAACATACTCAATGCATTGTTGGCTCACGGCTCTTGCAGTTTACAATCCTCTTAGTGCTAGATTGCATTGGAGCCGCAACAAGCTGCCTGATTGAGCATCCAGAGGAACCACAAGACGATGCAAGTTTGGCGTCGATTTGGCGCCTGAGGGTCCTACGAGCAATGTTGGCGCTGCTACCCATGAGAAGGCTCCGAGTCTGGCAGGGACAGTTCGGAGCCAAGTCTCCAAAGCCCACAGCGTTGATGGTACATGGCCTTCGTATACTTGAAAGCCGTCTTCAGCAACAACGATCGTTCGAAATGCCTGCAACTCGATCGATAGGTCGCACAGCTGAGGGTAACTTTGCTACTTGCGAGCTGAAGGAATACCCTTCGAGGCTGTGCTTAGGCATAGCACATGCAGTTGTTGACAGCTTCAAAGAAGCTCAGGCAGGCAACCCGGACCCCGAGGAGACCGAGATTAAGGATGATGCTTTCCTCGAAGCAGCTCAGTCTCCGTGGGATCCGTACATCCCTACCGCTATGCGACACGACTTTTGTCGCAAGCGGTAGGACACTCCGACCACTTGGGTCGTTGAGAGAGGTCTCACCCCCATTCCCAAAGAGGCAACAAGACAGTGAGTCTGCGTGCCAAAAAAAAAAAAATAATAATACTTGGCCTCCTCTGGTGTTAGCAGGAGTAAATACCATGTGGGATTCATCCCAAGTTGAAAAAAACAACTCACAGCAATCCATGACTCTCCACTACTAGCCATGACTATCCATGGCATACCCAAGAAGTACCATGGTGATCCACTTCCGGAAGGCTCTTCGCCTAAAAGCATCCACAAAATCCCACATGTTTTGTTCATATGTCATGTTTTTTCCGCTGCAACTGTGCGACCAAGCGGCCGAGAAAACATGTAGAAAGTTGATCCGACAAAATGTCATGAAAACTCCAGTGAACAAACAACACAAAAGGAAAACGACCATCTGCGTTGATTCTTCCCATCTTCCACTCCATTCATCTTGGTTCTCCGTTTCGTCCACTTCAACCCATCACACGGAACCCAAGATCGATTCCCACCGCCCCCGTCCCCGGTCCCTCCAGGTGTCCCACCGTGGAGATGGTCACACGGCTTTGCGGCAACGCCAACGAGCCCAGCTGACCGAGATCCGTCATGGTCTTCACCGCGCTCACCACGGCATCCTCAGGCGGTCCAGACCCGTGTGGTGGTCCAGACCGGTGCTGTCCTATCTGGAGATGCAGTTGTGGTTGGCATGGATGGGGACATACCAGGATCATCCAATGGGTGTCCTAGCTAGACTACCCTACGTAAACAGGTCTCCAAACAGGGCACCCGGACAGGAAGTGCTAGGTAGTGACGTTGTGTTGAAGACATGTGAAACACTGTCCACATGTCAGGTGAGCATCCCGATGTTTCGCTGAGAAGCTTGGGTCAGGCACCTTGATCTGGTTTTGTGTATGGCAAGTGGTGCAGGGTTTATGCCGTGCCCAGGAGCCTGATTTCTAGATTATTGCATCTTGAAGCATCACCAGCAAGGACGTGTCTGATATCCTGTAAACGAACGTCACAACGGTCGCTCAAACGTATGTTGAGTGCATCGCAAACCAACAAAAGAGTCGAATTGATCTCAGGGGTGTGCAATATAACCCCCCAAAATGCCGTCAAACCATCTTGCCAGGACAGTGCCCTCAACTGTATACGGACATCCTGTCTCTCTTTTGCGAAAGATTTGGGAGCCCACTGGGGAGCCTCAATACCACGCTATACCACTGGGGGCGATGTTTCTGGCGCGCCCTTGCTGGGACTATACCTCCCTCCTCTTCCTCCAGGCGGCGTAGTTGTTCAATGGCTCTCCCATGCCCATGAAGACCGCGTTCCGCACCGGGGCCAAGCCCTGCTGAGCTTCTAAGCGCTGTGCCATCAACAGCCTGTGCGCCAACACGCATCTGCTTTCCTGCGGACCCCTTGTTAAACCCATTTGACAAGACATGTTGGATGTTGCCATGGAAATCATGGATGTTCTCGAGGTGTCTTTTGGAGCTGGACGCGATCTCTGATTTTTCCAGGTCCCATGTTCAGTGCTGTGGCTTCGTCTGAAACCTTGCTGCGTGACATGGACCGCCAGCGGTTGTTTGGTGCACTTCCAAGTACCAAACATCTCTGCACACTGTGTCTCTTTCTCTGCATCTTTCCCGAGCTGTTCTTTCAGCAGCATGAAAACTCAACCTTTGATTGGTGTCCAATAAGAACATATTATCAAACGGGCCAGGAGCCCGTTGGGGAATACTGGTTGGTTTCCAAAATGTAACGTTTATCTATTTTCAGTAGGTCTTTTTGAGCGCAGTATCCGGACATTTTGTTTTTGATCACATGTTCCGCCTCTCCTCCGACCCATCCATGACCGGGCGGCTGCTCCACGATCTCCCCGGCATCTAAATCCTTAGGAAGAGACCGGGGTCGGTCTATCCTACCAGTGACAGTTGATGATGGGGCCTGGTTGCAGGGCCGGGTCCTTCAAACATAGCGAAAGGCTTGGTTGACCGGTCCTGTGAAAGGCCGAAGTTCGGGCGAACCAGCGGATTTGCTTGAAGCAACGGGAAAAACATGTATTTCCCCGCTACGAACGGAGCGATCGGACGCTACTAGGGGCTCCTGGCCGTACTACTAGGAGCAAGGACGATATTAGGAGCAAAGGGCTTCCTAAGGGGATTTACCCATGGCGGAGAATCACAACCACCCGAAGCAGCAAAGCCGGGTCAATCTCCGGTCACAATAGGAGCGCTACAGTAGTACTACAGTACTACAGTAGGTGGGCGGCCATCGCTCTTAGGTTGGAGGCGATCGGTAGGGTGGAACCCATTGCTCATTTGTTATAGGCCATGGGGATAGAACGGTTGCAATAGGAGCGTGTCCTTCACTGATCCCCTGGAGCTTCAGCTCTGCGAAGCGACAAGACCCGAGCGGCTCCGAAATCGAGCAACACGAACGACCCAAATCCCAAGGAACGTAGGACTTGTGACCCACAAACCAGCGTCAGCATTGACAGGCCTGACCGGGGTCTGACCGTTTTTTTTTTTGGCTCGGCCGAGGCACTCCAACCACTGGAAGGGTACCCGTCGCGCAGAACGTACAGCCCATCTGGCACCCCACCTGCGAACGCCGCCCACGGCGTTTGTACAAAGGTTGCACAAAAAACTACCTGCACAAAGCGTCCTGTGTCGCGTGGTTCCTGGCCACGAAAACATATCATAATATAGTATAACCTGGACCCTCAACAATTAATATAAGAATCTTATTCACTATTGGGATGTCTTATGATTTCTTTCCTATTGGGCCGGCTTGGCCGATTCCAACCAAAAGTGAACGGTTTCAACCAAAAATGAACGTTAGCACTGCTCCTTTTCTTTTCTTGACGCGCACACTTTAGCGGGTCCAATCAAGTGGAACACCCGTAAGCCACAGTGCAAACAAGTGTGCGATCAATGAACATCTGACAGGCTCAAATAGATAGAAAGCGTGAAAGGCCGACCTGCAGTTTGTACAAGAGATTTTTATTGTTGGATAGCACGTCCCTTTTCCACTCATCATCCCAAGGGAAGCCTCTCTGTTCCAGTTGTGTGATGGGAACTGGATGAAATCCTGAAAGTCATCAAAAAGCCAAGAGTACAGACATTCCGATTTGCGTACTTTTGCGGGTTTTTGTGCACTATTTGCGTGCTTTTGCGTAGTATTTGCTGATTTCTCTGTACTTGTTGTGTCTGACATCTTTACACATTAAATGTTGCATATCGAGTCGAGTGAAAACAAATAGCAGCATTTGTTGAGGGATGCTTCCATGTCCTGAATTAGTGGGGGCTCACTCAGCATCCAGCTCTTCAAAACGTGCGTGCTAGGAATTAGGTACCTTTGTTTTCGACCCTGTCAAAGCGCCTTCAAATTGCTGTCGGTTATTTTTGTCTTTGCAAACCTCCAAAGGTCAAACGGTCAAACTTCCTATACACAGTCCAATCGTCCATATCATATCAATTCTTCATAAATTGAACGATTCTTCTTTCTCAGCTCCAATTATTGAACTATTGGGCCAGAATGTCCATTTTGAACGGTTTGAAGGTTTGCGACCTTTTGCGGCCAAAAGTGTTGAAACATGTTGAAACAACCTAAGACAATTCTTCACGTGTGAAGATTCAGGAATATTAATATGCTTGTGTTCCAACGGATTGCCGACGGTTTCCGTGAGAATTTGGAGTTGCCTGGCAGGTCTGGTCTCCCACACCGGGGGATGCCTGTCACCGAAGGCTCATCGCTGTGCTCAGTCGATCGATCGATGCCTTCACCGAGGTCTGCAGTTCGAGGCCTTCGGATTGACCCTCCAATGACTCGTCCATGAGCCTCCTTCCTTCAACAGATCGAGCCTCCTTCCCGCAAGTTTCAGATGCAAATCCTTTGGCAGAACTGATGAATCCACTGATGAACAGGGGGGAATCTGCGATTTAGATGTTCTTTTGGATGTCCAGTGTGCCACTCTGTGCCACTTGCTGTGCTTCTCCGCCACACCGGATCCAACCCGCCTGCGAGGAGACGCAAATGGTGGTGCGATCCTCATGGCGCATCACCACGGATTCCACCTCTGGTCCCGCGCGGCGCAGCGGGCGCGCGGACTAAGGAAAACGGCTGGTGGGTTCGTCAAGAGCCGGAAAAAAAGGGTCACCGGTCGCCTTGTTTGAACCAGGAGAAACTGATTCCCCGTGTTCGTGGTATAGACATCAAATGAGACTGATTCTCACTTCGTTCACCAAAGGGTAACTGGTGACGGTTTCGTCCGGACCCAAACATCGACGAAGTGGTTGGGTCTTCAGCCGCGCGGTGCTCGGCCCACCTTGTGGCCATCCCAAAGCTCGATGACCATCTTACCTCAGGCTTCTGCGATAGGTTTGGACTGAGAGTTGCAGTGCCGGATGAAGGAAGATCAAAAAAATGGATCGATCAATGGGTGGAGACACATCACATATCATCACATCTTCTTTCTTGCAACATCTTGCAATCCATTTTCTACCCGAGACCTGTTAACTACAATTGCAAAGGCACGTTCTGCACGTTCCTCCCATTTCAGACAATTCGGCACGGTGCATCTTCACCCTGCCGTACCTGTGGCAGTCCTCCTCAACTTGAGATCGAGTGGCAGGTGGATTGGTCTGCAGAGGTCAGGGCCGTACTCAACTTGTTGCTGAAGGGCCGCGTCCTCCGTACTCAACTTGTCACGGATCCATTTCGTTTCTTCTTCGAAGGAAACACGATCCCCTAGACTTCCGGTTCGACCATTAAAAATAATGGGAACGACCTGGTTTTGTAAAATCCTTAGTTGATAAGGGATTCAGCCTATTGAGTTCATGGTTGTTGGAAGCCTAGGGAATCTCGACCGCCTAAGCAAATCGCTTGCGTTGGTTCAACGACTCACGCGAGCCTTGGTCACGAGCAACATGGGCTCACCCGAGCAACAGCAGTACGAGCGCTCCAACTGATCTTCGGTCACTTTGGGTCAAAGCCAACGGTAGTGATGGCAATAGCTCAAGCCTCTCCAACGAGTTGCTCCAGAATGCAACCACCCCTTTGATATGCTTGCTGTACTACCGCTGTACATCACCTACTACTGTAAGGTTTCATGCGTCTTGACCACTCGCCAGCCATTTCCAGAGTTGCTCCAAGTTGGTCCTGCAGAGCGTCCCTTCCACCGACATCGGTGTGGATCTGAATCACCGAAACACGAAGGTCCCCCCCCACAAATCACCTCCGGACCTTGGAACCCTTTGACCGGGTCCATGCGGAGGAATATGTTGGAACACGTTCTTCCGTGCGGAACGTTCTGAACGTTCGGCGTTTGCTCCCCATGCGAAGGCCGCAAGTCATCCATGTCACCTCGAGAAACCGAAATGCACTTTTAACCAAGCCCTTGATCTTATATCGCTATAGCTTTTAGGATACATAACACTATACAAAATATAAACATCAAAACAATATCAAATATAGTACTATATTGTTTTGCAACATACGCCAATCATCTTGACCGCCACCCCCTGCCACGCCCCACGCCTGGTGAGCACTTCGGAGGCCTTTCTCGGAAGTCCCAAATCGAACAGCAGCTGCTCCTGAGGTGGGCTGAGGGCGGTTGATCTCCAAGTTCTGCCCCAAATCGCCCAAACGTTCGCCCTGTCCCAGCGCAGGGCAGTCCCTCAGCGCAGCCAAGGCTCTGTCACACCGAGCTCCTCCCAGCTCAACGCTCCGCTTCCGCTTCCGGCCGTGGGCTCGGTGACTTTGGCCGCCAAGGCCCGCAGCAACGGGCGGCCGTGGCTCCGCTTGATGTCCAGGGAGTCTAACAACCTCAGATCTCTTGTTGTTCGAACCCCAAGAACAGTTATAACTACGCGGATCACATCACACAACACCCAACGATGCAAAGAAACTCAAAGAAAGACTGACAGCTGGAAGCTGCTTTATACGACTTATTTTCTGATGTAGGCAGTCCATCCATTCACGGTGCTTCCCAGACGTCCTTCGCCAAGGAGCTGCAGCAAGGCCGGGAAATCCCAAAAGCTCAACGACCTCGGTCGACTGAACGACCGGTCGTGTTCTTTTTGGAACGACCACCCCGTGGGGGCGACCTTGAGGACATCACTTTTCCGACCGTTTTAACATGTCAAAGGAAACATCGGAAGAGCGATGTTTTCCTGAAAAAAAAACAACATAGAAGCATCTTGTGAAACTAGAACCATCACGGTTGCGTGCTTATCCACCCAAACCGGGGGTTTGGAGCTGTCGCGCTTCGGTACCAAGGTCACCGCTCGGGGCGCTTCCGGCGGATGCGCTTGGGCATGGCGGATGTGTGGAGAGAAGCAGTTGTGGACGTGAAGATCACTATCTGACAAAGCCTGAAGAACATCACTCCTAAGTTATAAGGAGGTAGTTCATAGATCTAAACCTTCAAAGTGTTCCTTTGCTTTGGTGAATCAGTTTGGCATGGGTGGCAAGAACTGCTGTTGAAGAGAAGAGTCCCCATGTGGAAACATCATGAAACATCCATCCCGCCAAGCAAGTCAAACATGTCCTGTTGTTGCCTTCCCCCCGTGATGCCGTTCCTGCAAGTTCATTGTGTGTCCTGATGTGTCCTGAAAGGTTGTGTCCTTCTGGAGACATGAATCCATGCTTCGAAGGAAAAAGAAAGAAACACACAGTGCTCAGAACCGGCTGTTTTCTTCCAACTTGAGCTCCTCAAAGCTTCACCGAGCCATGTTGACAGCTTTAAAAAGAGCGTTTCGGACTTTCGTAGTGCACTGTTTCTTTCCTTTCAATTGCTTTACATGAACAAAATATATTGATGGTTGGATTATGGATTTGTTTTAATCCTGTTACGATCGCTGTTTAGTACCAATTAATACATTGATGGTAGTTGGTTTCCACTTAAATTCCTTATAGAACTGGTTTTGGACGTCCTTTCCAACCAAAACCCCTGAAATTATTGAAAGCTAGAATAGAATAATGATATGAAAATTAATATATGTACATGTACAACCAGCTGAAATATTTGTTTATTGAAATTCCCTTTAACGACAAAGCAATGTTACACCTGGTATAATTGTGTCCAAATAGAACTGGTTGATTTATTGAAAGATATTGACTTGCAATAGGTGTCCAATCAAGACCCCTTTGTTTAAACTACTTATATAAAATCAATGAGCGCATCATGTTGCAAGTTGTTTCTAGTAAGTGAGGCAGCCTTAAGGAGATGGAGTGAGTTGATCTTTATGTGGACAGATCTAGCTAGGGCAGAACTCTTTTGTTCAAACAGTTTAAATAGAAGAACATCACAACTAAGAGTTCTTTACATCACAGTTCTTTACATGTATATGTAACTGCAGCACAAGGCTATTTTCAAGCTTCATAACTCCACCCACCACTACCCGCTCTCAAAGGGGGTGCCCGGTACCCGTGGTTTACAAGACAATATCATGCTCCAATTTAAGCATCAATTTTAATTTATCAAAGGTTTTGAAATCAAGAAATTGTTTTAATCAACACATCTGTTAATCAAAATATAGTTTAAACCACTATTGATGTGAATGTTGCATTAAAGACTTTCTGTAGGGAAGTACGACTGTGAGCCAAGCAGACGAAGTAGACCAGAAACCAAAAAAGTGGCAAAGCAAGCTGTATAGGAAAGACAAGACTGTGACTCAAACAAAAGGAAGACATTGACCCGACCCAATAGCCAAACAGCCTTTGCTGTGCTTCATAAGTACCCATTGTCTTTGTTTTAAGTTTCTGTTGTTCTTTTGGTTTACTCAAATGGTTTGGTCGGTGCCAAGCAAACAAAGTAGTGGACGAAACCGAAACGACAAAAACAAAAGGATGGACCCAATAGACTCTGCTAGAAAAACCTACGCGTTGTTTTCTTTAAGGTTTCTTTACTTTTGAGAAGACAGCTCGATGGTTCGCCTGGTCTTGCTCATCGAGGAACTATCGATCTTCGTCACCCATGTGGGAATATGTGGGACCCTTGTGGGGACCTGGGTCTCCGAGTATTCGGAAGGACATCGACTTTAAGGACCGCGCGGGAACCGCCCCAACCCGCACGGAGGATGTTTTTCACTTTGGGAAGCTCTGCTCGCTCAAGACTCCTGCACCTGGCGCGCGCTTGGCACAGAGTGAGTTACCAGATCCTCTAAACATCTAGAAACGCTGCTTGGGGGTCAACAAGAACATGCACCCATCACGCGTAATCCCAGGGGGGGGGCTTGTAGGTCTTACACTCCCAAATCCTCCAACTTCCTTGGCCCGGGCTCCGTCTTCCGGCGAGTTGAGAAGCGGTCCGGGGGTTGGCCTTCTATAGGGTCCGGTGGGTGCTCGCTCCGGCTTCTCGAAGTGTTTGGTCTGTCACAAAAAGAATCGAAAATGGTGATCCAGCTCGTTCAGCCCGTTCTGCAGAACTCCAAAAAACACCGAGGACTTGCGCAAAACATATATGTGTTCTGCTGACCAACACCAACAGGGCCCATCCAGGTTCCTGATCTTCAACATCAAGGTTCGGCAATCGAGGTGCAGTGGTCGGTCTCGTTTGGCACCTGCTTTTCGGCCGTGGCCACTTTCATCTGCTCAAAGTAGGCCAAGGTCCTCAAGAGGACGTGGCCACGAGCCAACACGTCAGGGCAGGTCACCACGGCTACCCCGGCCGCTTCCCGACTAAACCACGTACGTGGACGTACAACAAAAATAGAATCAGAATGCACCATCGGAACAAATGGGGCAATTCCTTTGAATCAATGCAACATGTCAACCATGTCACATGTCACATGTCCTCACTTCCCAAAGAAGTGTCTCCAAGAAGTCACATATTATATATGTGAATTTGTATGCATTGGAACATGCATATCATGATATGAGATGGCGGCCCTCTCATGTGACCATTTTGGCACAAGGGCCCTTGAGTCTGGCTCATCCGAGCCCCCGACGGTTGCGCAATGGAAAAGTGAGCGTACCGCTTGCTTTTGATCGCGACGGAGTTCTTTGATCCCCGTTGGTTGAGTTGTGACAGTTGCCTTTACAAGTTGCTGTTGATCCTCCGCTCACCATTTTACATGGTAGCGGAGCTGCCAAGCTCCAGGATTGCTTTGTGAGGTCCCGGCCTGATCCCGGGTGCGGTGCAAACCGCAGAGCAGCTCGTGCCATCTAGGTACATTGCTTGTGCAGTGGTGCAAAGTTGAGTTGACGTTGATTGTTGAGCATTGACATTGATTGTTGGTTGTGGAACATTGTTGTTTGTTGTTGGCAGTTTGAGCCATGGACTACAAAGACACTCTCAAAGACCTCTACTTCGATGGGAAGCCAAGCGGATATCGTGAGTTCAGACGCAAGCTGATCCTTGGTGTTGCATCCCTTGAGGACAAGCAACAACACCTGGCCGGTCCTCGAGTCCTCGGAAGATTGTCTGGCGAAGCTTGGAAAGCGACCGAAAACATTCCAATTGCTGACCTTCGATGTGAACAAGGCTGGCTGCAAATTGTTCGGACGCTTGATCAGCACTATCGTTATTTGCCCGAGACCGAGCTCCACGAGGCCATAGATGAGTTCCTTTTTGGGTTGAAGCGGAAGGGACATGAGGGAGCCACTTCCTTCACCTCCCGGTTCAAGACAAGTCTGCATCGCCTGGAAACGCTCATCTCACAGGAGCGTCAGCTGTCCAAGAAGCAACCGAAGTCCGCAGTCGAAGAAGAAAAGAAAAAGGAAGATTCGAGTAGTTTGGAAGAGTCGGACGAACATGCCCTACCTCCAGACGATCCCAATGAACAAACAGATGAAACTGAACAAGAAGTTGAAGATGAAGTCCGGCCAGAAGCCAAGGCCAGAGCAGCACCTCCTCCAGGTCCTTTTGATCCTCCCCTTGATCCTCATCGTCGGACCGGATCCACTCCATCGGTCCGAAGTGCGAAGTCGAGCTCAAAGGCTTCACAGGGGAAGTCCACTGGGACTCAGAAAGGTGACCAGCGAAAAGATCATCTCCGTATGCAACGTCTTCTTGGAACGTTGGAGCAGTCGCATACAAAGCCAAAACCGATTTTTCCACAGTCAGTTTTGGGACACTTGTTCATGAGAAAGTTTGGTTTGTCGCGTGAGCAACGCAGCCACATCATTCGTTCAACAGGCGGCTCCAGTCGATTTGTTGACATTGAGAAGATTTTGCGTGCTAGTGACTATGAGGAGAGATTGGATGACCGGCGACCACGGCTGGACGATCGTCGACAGGTGAGACCACGACGCGAAGCCTATGCTGTTGAACAAGTTGCTGAAGCTTCATCCACCTCCATAGACCCACTTTCTGACTCCGGGTCTGGTGAAGAGGCCTACCAAGTTGAGGGTGGCGAAACATCTCTGGGTTCAGGTTCTGAGGAAGAGCTGCAGGAGATCTATGAGATTCAGAAGAAAGCAAAGAAAGAATTCAAGAAACAGTTTCGCACCTACAAGGAGTCAAAGAAGAAGGTGAGGGAAATCAAAAGAGCACGACAACCATACATGCCGGTGGTGGCCATTCCACCCACCGAAGGCGGCCAGTCCCAGGCTCCACTGGGAACTCAGGCTGCGTCGTCCAAAACACCACGCTATGAGAAAAGGTCCTTTGACAAGAAGTCGCCACAAAAGGACCCAAAGAAGAAACCACCGAGGCGTGAGGACGCCAACCTGACAGAAGCTGTGGAAATTGTTGACAGGACATTGACCGAGTTCAACTATGCCCTGACTGAGTCCACCGCTGCTGAACTGGAAATTCTCCTGGCCTCAATTCCATCGGGTTTTGCAATCATTGATACTGGTTGTACAACATCCGTTGTTGGCGAGGAAACAGCACAGAGATATGAGCAGGTTTTCAGACAATGCAATTTTCCTCCACCCGTGCGTGTCACTATGCCTACAGTTGAGCTTCGTGGCTTCAATGGTCAGAGCGAAACAACAGCTGTTGGTTTGAAGTGGACAGTACAGCTGGGTTCGTTGAAAGGGAATATCACAACATATGTTGTTCCTGGAAGCGCGCCATTCCTGCTGTCACGAAGGGTGTTGGAGGGTATGCAGGCCACACTGGACTTGGGCCGAATGACCATCACGAGTCCAAAACATGGTATGCAAGATGTACCCCTGAAACAGGCCGCAATTGGCCATCTGCTGTTGTCTCTGGTGCCACAGGTTGCTGAGTGGGAGACAGTCCTCAACGACTCGAATACAAATGAGCCCAATCCGCATGAAGCCCAAGCGATGGACCGCCAGTCCATCTCCGTTGATCTCGAGCACCACCAAGACCTCAGAGGACAGGACACGAACAAAAACAGTGTTTTAAGTGCACCAAAAATGGAGCCAACCCCGTGTGATACTCGGAGGGCGTTTCAAACTGTGTGTAAACATACCAAACGAGGAAACGTCGATTGCAGTGTTTTTCGTGCCGAGCTGTCCCAATTGTTTTCATGTCCCGAACACCCGGTGGTGCATGCCTATGTAGCATATAAACCTAGACTAGAAAGGATTCCTGCCGAAGCCGAACGAACTTCACTTGATATGAATGTAGTCTCTATGGATAAAGATGGAAACATGCTCATGTCAGGATGGATCGTTCGTCCAGCCGGACGGGTCAGAAGACCTGTCAACCCAATGCAGGTTGCGATCTTTGCATTTCGATCCGAGCAAGCACCCTCTGAACCTGAGAGTGCCGGCAGTGAATCCGATCGTGTCGAACCAGCAGAGCCGACGCCATCAGCGCACCAATGTGATTGTTGTTGTAATGATGACATAGAAGGGGATTGGGAATACACCATGCAATCAAACACCCTCGAAACTTTGTATGAAGAGGTTGACTGGGTAGATCTTGACTTGCAGGATGTTCCAAAAGAAACCCAAACGAAACTGAGAGACGCAATCACAGCGGCACGCCGTGTCGGTGTACGCATGGCTTTGTCGCGACTGCTGAGCAATCGGCAGGAAGTGCTTTCAGAACTTCGCCACTGGTTGGGCAACCAGGCTAGTAAACTTGACTCCAAGGTTGGACTCATAGAAGTTTTCACAGGAACAGCCAATTTGTCCAAACAGTTCGAAAAGAGAAACCAGAAAACAGCAATCCAAATTGGGATAGATTATGGACATGATCTTGGTAGGTTGAGGGATAGACGAAATCTCCTATACCTGGTAGCCTTGACAAAGCCTGATCACATTTGGTTTGCTCCCCCATGTAAGTGCTGGGGTCCCTGGTCGAGGTTCAATATGGCATTTTCCGAGTCTAGGAAACAAGAAGTATTGAAAAAGAGACATCAAGCTAGAAGACATCTGCAATGTGTTTCGGAAACATGGCATCTCCAAACCATCCTTGGAGGTCATGTACATGCTGAGAATCCGCACTCGTCCGATATGTGGCAGGAGTTAGTGCTTGGACCAGCCTGGTCAATCCGAATTGACCAATGTGCACTCGGGCTCCGTAGCCCCAAATCCAACATCCCTGTCTTGAAGCCAACTCGGATTGTCAGCACTCAGGAGTCTTTGATGCAGCACCTTGTCCCATTTCGGTGCGATCATAAGCATGGTCATGATCATCTAGAAGGAAACTACAAAGGTAGAAATCTGACATCCTGGGCCGAGACATATCCTAATAAGTTTGCACGTGTCATGGCCGATGGTCTTGCCAAAAGTCTCCATGGACATTCTGGTCCAGATGCAGTAGAGATCTTAGCTCAAGATGAAGAAGAAGATCAACTAGAAGAAGAGATAGAAGATCGATCAGAGAGACTGCCAGACCATGACGAGCCAAATTCGAACAGCCAAAGTTTGAATCCCAAGCAGCTGCGAGTGTCCGCATTGGTTCGTAAATTGCATGTGAACACAGGTCATGCATCGACAGAACAAATGTTGAGGCTCGCGAACCGTTGCCAAGCCAGTCAAGAAATTGTGGACTGCATTCGGAACTTCCAGTGTCCCATTTGTAATGAACTCAAGCCTCCACCGTCATATCGTAAGAGTGCAATCCCCCATGCAGAGAACCCGAATGACATAGTGGGTATTGATTTTGTTCAAGTAGAACTCAAGAGAGAGGGACGTAATGGGAAAATGACCGAAGTCAAGTTCAACGTGTTGACATGTGTTGATATGGCCACAGGTTTCGCACAACAGATCATCGTTGAACGCGGTCCCAATCAGCTGTCAGTAGCTTTCCATAAGGTGTGGACACGTCCCTACGGCACTCCTAAGATAATATTCATGGACCCTGCCAAGACTAATCTCTCCCAGGATTTCCAAGAGTACCTAACACACCATGGCATTCAGTTGTTGCATGCGGCTGCCGAAGCACACTATCAGCTAGGTCAAGTTGAAATTGCCAATCGCATTCTCAGGAACATGGCCAATCGTTGTTGGCCAGGCACTGACCGTCCACCAGAAGAGGTAATAGAAATGTGTGCAACAACCCGTAATGAACAACTTCGAAAGCATGGTTTCAGCCCAGCACAATGGTTCTTGGGAAGGGACTCACGCCATGTGGGAATGCTTGCCGACTTGGATGAGCAAAGAAATTTTGCTGCCCAGTCGCAAATCCTGTCAGATCCATCGTTTGCATCCAAGATTCGCCTTCGTGAAGAAGCGGCCAAGGCCTTTCATGAAGAACATGCGAAGGATGTTTGGCGAAGAGCTGTAGCCTATAGACATCGTCCCATGCGAGGACCATACGTACAAGGTCAACTTGTATACATGTTTCGAGCAGCAGGAAGAGGTCAGCTTAGCACAAGACATGGTAAGTGGTTAGGACCTGCCAAAGTAATTGGGGTAGAAAGTTCATCAAATAGTCCCATACCACGCCTAGTTTGGACAAGCTATAATGGCTATCTCTATAGATGTCGACCAGAAGGCCTCCGTCCAATGTCCGAAGACGAAACTGAGTTTCGAGCGCTTGCAAGAGAACTTGCATTAGGCCAGCTGGCACCGGAAACGGAAGCTGCAGGTAAATCATTGTCGGAGGGCGTCGCTCGTTTTCATGATCTCACAAAGGACATCCCTGGTCCAGAGGACTTCGAACTCAAGGAAGATGTAGAAGCCGAACCTCATCCTGAGACCATCGATGACAGACCTGATTCGGAGGGTAGACCACATAAGATAAGACGTAGATTCTATCGTTCCCCTGAATATTGGCAAAAGAGATCACGAGGCGAGATTCCACCTCTCGGCAGTATGCATGAACAAGAGTTGAATCAGCAGCCATTTGCCGCTGTTGCTCCTGAAGAGATCCCCGAGGATAGACTTGAGCCAGCCGATAAACGTAGAAGGGTTGTTGAAATTGATTCATCTCCAAGTTATGCACCCACCGAACCGCCAGTTCCTCTTGAAGAAGAGGGATCTCAGTCAGGCTTTCAAATGCACAACGAGCTTGATGAGCTCATGCCTGACCCAGGTGCTGTACCTGCACACCTGGAACCAGAGACAGACACTAATCCGCCCGAATCCGATAGACCCGATAACACCGATGAAGTAATGCCTGAAGTAGACTCACGATCGAACGAGATCGAACCATCTGGCATAGATGTTCCCGTTCCAGAAGCTGGTGAAGACGAACTAGCGGTAACAGCCAGATAACATGTGTTCGAACTTTCCATTGACGTCCATCCCGAAGACATCACTGAGAATCCTCTGTGTCTCTGGAATCTTTTTGAAAAATGCTTGCAAGCTGCGCCGCAGTCCAAGGCGAAGCAAAGAAGGGTTGAAGTCCAGTTCCGCAAACTCAATCCACACGACAAGAAACTGTTTCTCCAAGCTATGCAAAAGGAATGGCAAAGCTGGATTGACAATAAGGTGACTTCACTTTGCAAGGCTAGAGGGATTCCTACAGAAAGAATAATTAGAGCAAGGTGGGTCTTGGTATGGAAAAAGTCATCCGATCCTGATATCACATCCAAAACTCCAAAAGCACGTCTAGTTTTGGTAGGATGGCAGGACCCGGACCTAGGAAAGGTAGCAACAGACAGTCCAACTTTGCGTAAGGAAACAAAGCACCTTGTTCTATCCATTTGTTCAGCATCCAAGTGGAAGCTATGGGGAGCCGACATAAAAACAGCGTTTTTGTCAGGAGATGAATCTTGCAGAAACATTTACTTTCGACCTCCAGCAGAAATCAAACAATGGATGAACTTGAGTACAGATGACCTGTTTCGTCTTGAGAAGGCTGCCTACGGCCTGGCTGAGGCACCACGTGCTTGGTTTTCCCGCCTGACCAGGGAACTTAAGGAAGCAGGGCTAACCCAGAGCCAGTTGGATCCATGTTTGTTTATGTTGAGGAGTAAGTCCGATAACACTTTGAAAGGCATATGTGGAGTACACGTAGATGACCTACTAGGTGGAGGTTGCAAGGAAATGGACCAAGCCTTGGACCGACTCCGAAAGAAATTGCCGTTCGGTGACTATCGTACTTTCACAATAAGATATACAGGAGTAGAGATTCGACAAAATCCAAATACGATGGAAATTGAAGTAGGACAAGAAAATTACATCGAGAATTTGGAACATGTTGAAACGAAGACCTTGGGAAACGCTTCAACGTCCCTTACAGATCCTTCTATCCTTAGAACTTGCGCCGGTCAGTTAGCCTGGGTGTCGAACTCGACACGTCCGGAACAGGCATTCCTGGCTTCGTATCTTCAAGGGGTTCAGGATAAGGGGAAAGTTGAACACGTCCACTTGTACAACAAAGCCGTGAGGGAAATGAAAACTAGAAAAATCTGTTTGAAATTCCCTAGCCACGTTCCAGTAAAAGATTGGCACATCGTGTGTATTGCTGATGCTGGCTGGTGTACTAGAGCTAACGGTGAAAGTCAAGGTGGATACATCCTATGTCTTACGACCAAAGACATCATGAAGAACAAGGAATCCCCTGTATGGATAGTAGATTGGAGTTCTAAGAAGTTACGACGAGTAGTTCGTTCCTCAGTAGCAGCAGAAACCATGTCCGGTCAGAATGGACTTGATGCGATTGAGTGGATTCAATCCCTGCTTGCTGAGATCCTAGAAGGCCAATCGCCTCGAACATTCCGAGAACGAGTCCCAGAAAAGACAGCATGCCTCGTTGTTGATAGCAAGGGTTTCTTCGATGCAGTCACAAAATCGTGTAGCTCTCCTACTATTAGCGTAGAGAAGAGACTTCAGATCGACTATGCCATCGCTAAGGAAAGCATGTCCTTGCAGAACATCATGGTCTTTTGGACTAGTAACATTTTCATGTGTGCAGACGTGTTGACTAAACTACGAGCCGACACAGGACCTTTCTATAAACTCGTTGACACTTGGAAATACACCATCCACACCGGAGTAGAGTCAGGTAAGAAAGAAAAAGCCAAGGCTAGAGCTGCAGAAGCAGAGAAACGTCAACTAGATGAGCACTAGGGCCCATGCATGCATGTTGTGAAGTGAATCCAACATTCGCTTGGTGAAACTTGAAAGGAATTTGTTAGTTAGGTTGAGAAACCATCCATTGCCAGCCACCTCGAACCAGTTCGTTGCTGAGGAGTTGTCCTGGTTGTTTTTCTCATTTTTCTTGTGCCGCATCGGTTAAACCGAATTTTGCACAGCCTTTTTGCTCCAAGGAGCGCACGACCGTGAAGTGTCGCCCATTCAGTCCCGCAGGATCATGTCGAAAGCAGCAAAGACCGATGATGAAGAATATCACATCCGGTCACCACTGACGGATCAGGATCTTAGCATGTGTGCCGGCCTTCTCCATCGAGCTGTCCGTTTCGGACAAAGTGCACAGTTGCTCCAGCGTGTGAACGACTGGGTGAAGATTCGTCCAGACCTCCGACCAAATGTTGTGGGAGCTCAGGTCATCGTGGATGCCTCCATGTCCGCCATGACTGATGCTGCGAAGCGACGCATGGATGCCGATGAGACCTCTCAGGCCTCGAATCCGTGGGAGCTCTTGAATGCCAATGAGCCTACCGGTTCAACCATGACACCGGAGCACCTTGCTGTGAGCCCAAAGGGATATGAAGCTGGAAAGGTGAACTTGTTCCCAGTGGCCAATGTGACCGATCCCTTGATTCCCTTGCCTGAAGGAATCAGCACCGTAGAGAAATGGGGACAGACCATCTGTCGTATGGATAAGGTGAAGGCTGAAAGCCTCACGTATGATCAAATGATCATGACGGCCCGCACGAATTCGAAGAAAGGAGAAGACATGCGTCAGTACCTCCAGTTCATTTTGTCAAAGTATGGTACTGGTGGAAAAGTGCCATCCAAGATTACCAAGGCCGTGGACTTTGCCATGTACCTTGAAAAGGTGAAATGGAAGAAGCCTGATTTTGAAGGTCTTGCTGAGAAGTACGGATTCAGCCGAGAGCTGCGTGACTGAACAGTGTCGCTGACAGCATGGTCCCATCTTCGCACCGCCATGAGGGCGTGTGAATTTGTATGCATTGGAACATGCATATCATGATATGAGATGGCGGCCCTCTCATGTGACCATTTTGGCACAAGGGCCCTTGAGTCTGGCTCATCCGAGCCCCCGACGGTTGCGCAATGGAAAAGTGAGCGTACCGCTTGCTTTTGATCGTGACGGAGTTCTTTGATCCCCGTTGGTTGAGTTGTGACAGTTGCCTTTACAAGTTGCTGTTGATCCTCCGCTCACCATTTTACAATATATGTCTCACAAACACTGAACGTACGTGGCCTGGGTTCCCGGTTGGGTGGCGACTCCCCACTGCTGGCGGCCCGTGGAAAAAGCGTGGTCTCCATGCAAAGGGTTCACACAGCCATTGGTTTCCCGCCGGGTGTCCTCCCTGGACACGTGAAGTTATGGTGAATCCTTTTCCCTGGTGTGGAAGTCGCTACCACCATTCCTCAAAAATAGGAGTTCCAGTTACAAAAACATGATAGGTTTTTGCTATAGAGAACCAAGAATTCTGAAGAACATCACCCTGAAAATACATGAATTCTTTGATGTGCCTTTGATTTCTTTCAAACAGTCAGATTGTCTACGGGTTTCTATATACAGGTTTTTGCAAGATCAAAATTTAGGGCTTGGAACAAAATATTCTTGTCAGGAACACGACGCGTATGGTCAAATGGAGCCACAAAACACAATGTTTTCCATCAAACACGACAAACTTATAAGTTTTGGGTTCAGTTGGTATGCTTTGTTGCAGTGAAGCAACTGGAAACCAAAAATGCTGGAGATTGGGTAACCATCAAACGGTGGTGCAAGACCAACAAAGCCCCATGGGAAATGCTAGTGACAAAGGCCATCCAAATGCACCCCACTGGAAAATGCAAGCAGGAACCCTCACAAGAAATTCAGGCGCCCCTGCTTGCCACGGCCCACAGTCTCCGCAGCACTGGCAGAGGGGCGGGATGGCTCAGGCTCAGTTCTCTTGAAGCATCGTGAAGCTGGGGATGGAAAACCAAGTACTCACACTACTTGAAGGCACCAGCGAGGTCATCTTACCTCGAGGTCATCTTACCTCGTTCGAAACAGCGCCGCGAAGCTTATGCTAGGACACGCCACTTTCTGGGCAAGTAGCTCTGTCCAAAGTGCTGTGGCGTTACATCTGTTGGATATTTGTTTCCAGGTGCTGCGCTCAAACCATGATATCAAGCGTACATCGTTGACCTACTATGCAAACCTCTCAATAGCAGCGCGACATGCTTCAAACCATCTGCCGACTAATTGGATGTGAGATACCTTCAAATGGTGGTAGAGTTGACTTAACATGTCTTCACTGCATGTCATTTCATGTCAGTCGCTCTGGAGAACGGCGTTTGAAGGACTCGGTTGGGGAGAAAGGCCCATGTCGCTGTGTCGAGATTGTTCCAAGCAAAGACTCAGATAAGTTGAAGAAACTCGCTGGAAAGTCAGGACTCCCAGAAAAAGGACCACGGACGCATCAGAGTCATGACGTGCCATGTTGATGTTCATCTAAACAGCTACTGAGCTACTGGTGTTTTTGCAGGTTGTCGAAGAAGCAGCTTGGTCCTAGGTCCTAGATATGGGAGAATTGTTCTTTCTGCACTTTCCTTGCCAGGTGACGAAGGCTTCCAAGTCGGGAACATCGTTTTCCATTCACCACTAATTCACCCAGTCCGTGGACAAGACTGGCTGGGGTAGACTAGAAGGGCAAACATGCGACTTCCAAGGCTTTCTTGCAATGCGGCGAAATCGCGGAGGTGGATGCAAGGCTCCGGTAGCCCCCGACCTCCCAAATGTCGAGCGTTACTTGGTGTTTCGCTCGGCTGGGTCGCCCTGGAATTCTTCTTTTTTCGATTGGGAGACAGGTGCTTCAGAAGCCGAGGCCAGGCCAAAGCTCAGGTTCTTCATGTGACCCCGTTCTCAGAACCGATCCCTCCCGTTGGGCTCTTTGCAGCCGTCCGCGCGGGAAAACATGACTCCTGCTCTTTCGAGTTCAGATAACGTGCTTCAAGTATAGGGAGAGCTGCGTGTGTACGCTTTCGAGCCTGCGCTTGGAGCTTGGGTGCTAGTGCCGCTGGAGGGTGCCAGCTTCCATTAAGCGTTTAAACGTTGGATCTCCACGGCCAGCAAAGGCTGATTTTGAGACAAGAGCGTAGACCCTAGATAGCATTGGAATCATGGCATTCAAGGTGTCGTGGCTATTTCACACGCGTTTCACAACGCTGCTGAAAACATCCGATGAACCATCATGGACCCAAAGAGATATATGTACACGATACCAAAAACAAGCACACACAGCAGCGGCACCAGCACCCAAGCTCCCAAGCGCTCACAGCAGCGACACCCTGCGCCCTGATCAGCTGAATCATATGCGTCGACACTTCTAGCATTCCCACGGATGACAGCTCCCAAAAACTCCTTATGGCGGTTGTGGACCACCACATGTGGAGATTCATCGCCATAAATTACCCAACAAAGTCCAACAACCACCCGGCAACCACGTTGGTTACACCGAAAAAACATCGCGACAAACACGACCACAAAACCGACACGGTACGACTAGCTGACTGTCCAGTCGTACGTCGGTCACCAAACAAACACCGCCTGAAGAGGGCGTTCAGGGCTGCCTGCACGGTTGGACGAGCTAGATAGTGTGGAGCAAATTGGTGAAAGGCATGCACTGGCACCAGCTTACAAATAAATCGACCCTCATCAATCCCCATCAATCGAAGCATTTCAATCTCAGGTGGGCTGTGCATCCGGATGTCTTCTTTCAACAGTTCTGAAGGTGGAAGAGCTTTTCCTTGATACCTTCTTTGAGGTGAACCGAAACGAACCATTTGGAAGTGATGGAAACGACCGTCCATCACGGCTCGGAGGGAAGAAACGCCTCCCGCCTCGTTTCTCCCGGCATTTTCGCTGTCCTCCACCTTCTCCTCGCAACAAGTCATAACAAGTCCACATATCAGTTAACATCCGGCTGTTGAATCCTCAAATTTGTGAGTCCCCCTATCGTTCTCCAAGGGTTTGGAACCTTGTTCAAAGGGCAACTTGCTTTGAGTCCCCTATCGTTTGCCAGGGTTTGGCATGCCCGCATTCCTTTTTGCCGTTCCTGGGCCGCGATGTTTGACTGTGAGCAGCGACTCACTCCATAGTGAACCAGCCAAACTGGTGATTGGCATGACCCCTTCTAATTAATACTGTGGCTCTGATTGGATTCTGAAGTGCCCCGTGATGGCTTCAACATGAGGCAACTTCAATAGGAAACAGTGCCGTCGCGGTGCGCCGCAGCAACGGCATGTCCTAATCTCAAAGAACTTGCAGACCAACAGCCGAAGGATGTCGAAGGTATCTGATATGGAAAAACATCGCAGCATCTCTCATCGGTCGGCCGGGGCAGCTAGGAAGTCAAGACTCGGGGTCTCTGTTTCTCAATGATTCTCTTCTCCAAAACCGTCAGATCCAACAGGACCATGTCCTTGACACCCGTCCTTGACACCGGTGAGCTTCCGTGCATCCTCCAGGTCTTCGTACATCTTCTCACCAAAGCGGGTCACCCAAACGTTCCTCGACTCGGCGCTTCGGCCGTTTGGAACGCACCGAGTCGTGGAGAGGAAGGCTCCGGAGGGTATGCAGGTCACTGACCGGACGCGTTCGGGCAGAGCGACAGACGCGCGGCGATCCGAGAATTGGCCTCTTCCTTCACCCGAGACCGATCGATGTCGTGCCTTTGAAGGAGTCCGAAGGATCTTGGGATTGACCCATCTGAGTGACAAGCATGGGTTCGACCCCTCGTGTGAAGGTAGCCCATGGCGATCATTTGCAAAGCCGATACTTGTTCCCTTGCCAGGCACTATACCGACTATACCTCTGTTTTTTGCAGCACAAAGACAAATCAGCTCTGTTGAACAGGAGCACTGGGAGTTAGAGGGAAACACGACCTCCATGACATGCGACGAAATCAGGGAACACAGGACCATCATCCCAGTGGTCCTGTCAAGGAATCCTCCAGGTCCATCCCAAAGTTCCAAAAACAGCAAATGGCACTGGTAAAAGAAACAGCCTCCGTTGTATTCTCAATCAATATCTAACAGGCCTGTCTTACCCAGCTTCCCACACGTTCGCTCCAAATCGGGTGCCGCATGTTCATCGCCCAGGCGTCTTGTTCATCGCTGTCTCGCGGTGCCTTCGGACGATCTCGGAGACGGTGTGGAACTGCCGCTCTTGCTCTGCCAAGTCCTCGAAGACACAGCACCGCGAGTGTGGAGCTTGAAAGCTTCGACGGATGATCTTTGAGATACTTGAGGTATTGAACATGTATTGATTTATAACGGCAAACAATACCTCTAGAGGATTTCTTTGGAGGGTGTCGAGGACACATGCGATCAGTAACTGTCAGGCGTTGCACCAATGCACTCAAGCTCTTGACAGCAGCTGAGTCTTTGACCGCTCTGATTGACTTGACGGCCGGGCTTGTTATGGACCACAAACACAAGTGTGATCGGCTTGTGACTATTCGCTTCCCCTGTCTTTGAAACTGGAAGAGAAAGGAATTTACAAATGTGAGTTTCGTACCAGCTGTTTCGAGAGTCGAAACAATTCAGCAGCCCTCTTTCTTGAACCAGTCTGGAAACTCATAATTTGTAGATTGAATTGATTGAAGTGATTGAATATTCATCATCAGCAAGATCTGTCAAAATCAAACCCTTTGTGGGTTTGGGATTTCAGCACACTGAGGGCAACTGTCATGTCGGCTTCTCCTCAGGACTTGCCTCTGGAGGCTTCGCCTGCCCACATTCCTCAGCATCCGTGAAGGCTTTGCTTCATGACGTCCACAGCCATAAATGATTGGCTTCGGAAGCGATTGGAACGTCCAGCATATCGATCCTCAAAATACGTTGAAGCTTCATGCACGGAGTCAAACATCCAGGAACTATCTTTTCTTGTCAATTACACACTGCCAAATAAATGCCAACTGAGCAAACAAGAGAAGCATAATGCAACCATCCAACTCGAATGTGAATCCTGCCCAAATACCGCATTCAAAATCATGACGGCATACAAAAGCTTTCATATGGATCTGGTGGATGTCTCTAATTCTCATCGCCTGAGTCTTCATAATCACTAGCTACCTGTCTGCCACTGAGTGATTCTAGCTTTCGATCGATTCGATATGCTCATGGCTGATGATTCATAATGATTCATGATCTCGCATGTTCCCTCCAGATCATTACATTTCTGGTTCCAGCCAGGGCACGTGCTTGTGGTTCACCCAATGCTTTCGTTGGCACTCGCGTGTGCAATACCTGCTCGAGTGAACAACACATGTTTCGCTTCAGGTTTTGACCCACGGCCCTCTACACAAAGACGTTGTTCCAGCAAAGTGTGTGTGCTAAATCACTAGTGGAAACTCTGAGTTTGGCTAGTTGGAGGCCATCGCTAGTAGGTTGGAAGCCATCGCTAGGCTGGAAAAGAACCGTGTGGAAACTCTGAGTTTGTTGCTCCTGCTAGATTCGACATCTTGCCACGGTGCCAGAATGATCGGCAGCCGCTGCATTGCTTGGAAGCTGGCGACAAGCACATCACGCAGGGTGTGCCCGCCATCGCGTGATTGGCCAATCGCAGCGGTGGTGTTGCTTTTTCTTACGTTTTGCTCATCCCATCGATCTCTGTTAGGTTGGTGGATGTAGCTGTTCTGACCAGTCTGCACGCATCGCGGACATGAGACATGTGGACGGCAATGAGCAAGACATTCGTTAAAAATCAGCTCAGCTCCGCTCTTCTGGAGTCTCTATCTATGCCCTCCTTGAGTCACTGATGGACCCAGATCGCCGGAGTGGATCGCATGTCGTGCCCGGTGCCGTTCCAGCGCTCCCCACCGGTCTGTGGGTAGCCCCTAAGTCCCTTGTCGTTCCGGAAGTTCGCCACCGACCGCTTCAACTCCCTCCACCGAGCCCCACCGGTTGCCCTTCACGGTTGGGCCAACCCGAACACCAAAAGGACCAACCCGAGTGGCCGAGGAAAAGCAGCAACACTCAAAGATTCTGACCCACTTCAGCGAAACACCACATGACCACATCACGCCATGGGACTGCCAGCGACTGCCAATCAGTTGGTCAATGGGGCGGAATATATGGCAGTTGCATGGAGTGGCATGACCACATCACCCGGTGACATGGGGTGACCTGACATGAAATCACTCGACAAAAGCTTGAGCTGACGGAGCACACGACACACATGACTGGACCTGCATCATGGGGATGTCTCAAGGGCGTGTGTCCTTTAAACATATTTGCACATGTTGGCTACTACTACTCAACACAAGTGTTGAGGATTGTAAACAAGAAAACAACACCACGTAGCATAGGAGATACCCATGTAAGACAATCCAAATGGAACCAACATATATATCAAAAGATATTGCTTCCCACATTGATCGCTGAAGGCGTCCCTTTTGGTAAATGCAACCACTACGGTCTTGGCACGAAAGATAACACATATCCTGAGTAGTATAAGAGTCAACCACCCACCCATATGATATCCACCCCACACCCAAAACAGTTCTCATCACTGCCTGGGATCTCTTTTCCCCACGGCGCTAAATCACCTCCTACCCAGGCGCGCCGGGCGCGCGCCAGGCAAACAACCGCGCGGTGGTTTCCCGTGTGGAAAACCTGCTGGCCGCAGCCAGAAGGAGTTTTCAGTATATTGGGAGTGATTCAAAAGGCCTCACATGGCGGCTTAAGTGGTCACTTTTGCATCTGAGCTTCTTTGGATGAAGTTCAAATGCACATAAAGCTGAGGACGACAGAACACGTGTGAGGATCTTCTAGATCTCTCCCACTCTTCCTTCCCACGAGGTCAAGGAGGTCCTGACCACCTTTAGTTCATACAATTTAACGAATGTAATGAACTCATGCAACATATATTATGAGCACAAAAGAGTTCTTCTGTTCACTGGCCTTTTGCTCACTCTGATCATCTCTGATCCTTTGTCCTTCTTTTGCAGGTTCTCCTCGCGGTCCACCTCCAGACCACAGTCTGGACCACTTTTCGCCCGTGGAGGCGAGCGGAGCTGAGTTCAACGGAGCTGGCCCTTTCGACTGATGCGATGCGGAAGAAGGAACTCCCATTTTGGTCGCTGCGACCGCGACCTTGCCATGGTGATGTTGGTGATGTGGTTGGGCGACAGACTTGGATTCCAACTCAGTGTAGAAACGATGGACTGTCTGTTCCTGAAAGATGGGCATTCGTTGACGGAAACACATATGTTTAAATGTATCTACCACTCGCAATTCTTGCCTGGACACGGACCTTCTCCGCTCCCTCCCCACCAGGGTCCCCGGTGTTCGGAGCTCACGGTCCCCGCATCGGTCACCTGCGCGAGCCACCGAAGGGCCAAGAGAAACCAAGCTGCAGAAGCGACGTTCGTGCTGTGTCCTTGCTGCAAGAAAAAGGTCATGGCCTCCTACCGGGTTCGTAGCTTCTTAGCTACTGTTGATGCGTGACTGTAAGCAATTCTAAGGAAGGATCCAAAAGTAGGACTAGGACCAGGACCTATATACTATCATTTGGGCCATTCTAGGACTGCATAGTTCCGCTAGCCACCGCTAGTCTCAACATCTTGACCCCAAGCTGAGACTCCATCATGGGCAATTCTCACAAACATGGGAAACCCCTAAGGTGGCAAACCCCAAAAACACCTTTGGAGCGTCCCATCTCACCACGTTGTCCCATCTCGATCTGCCTTAAGCTTCCGTCTTCTGTCCTGAGACCGCAGCAACATGCGGACCAGGTCGATGGACATGAACTCGCTTGGTGTGTCTGCTTCCGGGAAGTGTTGTTTGTTCCATGTTATTTTCAAAAAAATCACCACATCGCTCCGTATTGTGAGGAAACGGGTTTTGTGTGTATGCAACCCCACATCGCTCCCAATTATTGGATGTGTTTTTGTTCCACTTTGGCACGGCCGTGGTGGCTGGTGGCGGTTCGGACCCGAACGCGGTGGTTCCTCGGGTGTCCCCGTGGCGTGGCAGCCGGACCGAGTGACCGAGTCGCGTAAAGATCCGGGTCCGCTGAGGATGGAGGCCATGGCTATTAGGTTCTCAGTTGAGGTGGAGGGCCACCTGGTCCACAGGTCCACTGGTTGAGGTCCAGTTTGCACTTGCTATTGAACATGCGATGCCGTGCCTCGGCATGATGAAAAGGGTTCCGTCTCCACACTTCGCTAGTAGGTTGGAGGCCATCGCCAGGGTTTCTGTCTCCACGCTTCGCTTTGTTTTTCAAATGCCAGATTTAGGGTTCGATGCTCGACTTCGAGCAGTCAGTTCACATGAGATGCACCCAAGGACTTGCATCCCCGTCAGAACATCATCACTTCCGGACTGAACTTAGTTTGACCCTCCTGACTGACTGACTGACCGACCTGTTTTGCCAGGTAGGGCCTCAAACCGACATCGTGAGGCGGACCATCATGGAGCTGACCATCGTTTTGGTGCGCACCATCGCCCGCCGAACCTGAGGCCTCCAGCGTTTTCCAGGAGGAAAGCACTCATGAGGGTTCGCCTGGCGAAAAGGAACCACCCAGACGCTCCAAACAGCTCTTGGTCCCTCAAAACCCTAGGGATTTAAGGGTCCGGACCCCTAATTACTTAGGAGGGTCCGGCCCCTACTTAGGAGGGTCCATGAGCGTCTGGGCAAACGCAAACAAAGGAACAACCGCTTGCCCAAGTTCAAACATATCAACTGACTGGAAAAATGTGTACAGCACTCAAAGAGTTGGGTACCCTGTGTGACCTTCAGTAAGTTTAGTACTAAGTAATAACAAGAATTCTAGGGGCTCCTGGCATCGCTACTAGGAACAAGAACGCTACGAACGGAGCTCCTGGCCTTACTACTAGGAACAAGAACGCTACGAACGTAACAAGAAGCTACAATCCAGCTACTTGGAACCACTGAGACACCCGTGCCAGCGACAGGTGGCTCAACATGGCTCAACTGCGTAAACCGCCCACCAGGGTCGCATTGGTCGGTCTGTTTGATGAACCAAACATGCAGTCTCAACAGACTTCGTCCCACCCAATACCTTTTTCAGAAGCTGCGAAGGATTCCGCAGGGCTTCCACCAACTTTGGCTTGCAACATCTCTGAAAGTCCGCCCAGCGAGCTGCGCCCCCCAGCCTTTGCTGGCGCCTCACCAAAAACCTTGGAAACTGGGAGTTGGTGGTTTCGGGCCGCTTCCGGGGATTGTGGCGGACAACAAAAACGAATGAGAAACACCTGTGTCATAGATCAGTTCTACCGGAATCCTCTATAAGACTATAGATCGAGATGTTCCAACAACGATCATAATTATGATGAGAACCTGTCAAATCCATTAACAAAAATGCAACAGTTCACATTATAAGTTTATGTCTCTTCTTTCAACAAGTTGCATTGTTCAACTGCTGGCTGCAGCGGATGAAGGTCGTCCTCTTCGGCAGCTCCCGCAACGTGGAGGCGCCCACGTACCTCACCAGACAGATGCGACAAGGACCTTACCGGGGTACCCAACTGGGATAGTCTAGTTCAGGTCCTTCAACCTCTGTTGGTAGGTCTTAATAGGTGTCGAACTCCGTCGCGCGCTCAGATCCCTCCCTCCCCCGGGCTCACGTGCATGCCGAGCGTACACCTCCCTGCAGGTCCCGGATGGTCTCATCGATGGGACCACGGTAGGGCACCTGACCGATCTGATCGACCGCACGACCGGATCATCGTGGGGTTCGAGTTGGATCGTCGATCCACGGGCGGCGGCGTGTCCCGGTTTTGAGATGAAGTAGCAGAGGTGGTTGGAGGTGTTCGAGCCACATGCTTGTGCTGGGATGGAACTCTGATTGCTATTATACAAAACAATTCAAAACACTACGGCCTACGGAGTGCAGTCTAATCAATTCAAATGTCTTGCAACAAACTGGATAACGCTACACTCTTCAAATCCAAATCTCACACCTGAACTGATCTCAGATGCATCAGTGGAATCATGTTGAATCCCATCTCTGGTCAATCAGTTTCCGTCGTCCTTTACCCTGGCCATCAAATCCAGCTTGCTACAAGCCACTGAAATCCACCAGTCCACTCCACGCTCCACACGCGTGTGAGCTATGGTAAGCTCATTTCGGGTGCAAACAGGTGAGCATAAGGGCAGCATCGATCAGCTCTGGTTATTTAACAACACTTAGCACATGCTCTGTGAACAGGTCCGCTTCTGCCAGACCCCTATTATCGATAGAGAACGAACATGAACGAGTCATGTTGAAAACCCGTTCCATCAGATTCCCCTCTTCTTCCTGAGAATCAGAGTTTGGGGGGCCAGCACCGTCTGTCCTCCCCGTCTCACCGGACGTCCCGCCTTCACCGTCTTGCCCTCGGACGACCGGTACTCTGCCACACCACCCGCATGCTTCTGGCGGCGTGTCGGCGGGCGAAGGATCAAATGTTCATCAATGTTCAGGATGCGAAAAACTTCTATCATGTCCAGTTTGCACTTGCCTAGGTTATTGAACACGCGATGCCCAGTAGCGATGCCAGGAGCCCCTAGTAGCGTCCTTGCTCCTATAGTAGTAAGGCCGGAGCCCCGCCTAGTAGCTTCTTGTTACTAGTAGTAAGAATGCTCCTAGCGATGCCAGGAGCCCCTAGTAATATGTTCAAAGACGTTTGAAGACCTCCTGTGAAGCTGTTGTCTTCGGAATTGTGAAGGAAGACTTCATTCAATCCCAACTTCAATGTTCAAAGTTTTTGTGAAGACTTTTGAAGTTGGTGAGCATAGGTGCCTGCCCAGGTGACGGACGCCTTCGTAGAACATGGGGATAGTAAGAAGTTCTCAAGAGAAACAGGCCGAAGCTGTCTTCTGGGCTAAGAACCGCAAGAACCCAATAACACATCTGGAGAAGTCTGGAGAAGCTAACTTGTCCGTTTTTTGTGGTTGTTTTTCATAAAGGGGTCTCCTCATACACCAATGGCTGTTGCTTACAAGATATTACAAGTATACAGAGTCTGAGTCTGCCATGGCGATCAAAAGTGGAGGAGTTTGCAGATTCTTCTGTTCAGCTCCAACATGCTTGCAGATTCCAAACCATCACTCCGCGAAGGGCACAGAACCCTGTGACAACGGAGACAAGAAGCCTGTGCTTCTGACCGAGACACGAAGAAACCTTACAGATTCCCAGATTGATAGCAACCCAGTTAACAAAAGAGACTCTTCAGCACATCCCTGATCCTTGGCATCCACAACGTTTGATTGAATTAATGGTCCAACACCACTCCCTCAGCGCCTTCATGGCAGTGTCGCTGGACATCCCGTAGAAGACCTCGCAGCGAGCCGTGGCGGGACTCTAACTCAGTCAGGCTGACCACACGGTAGCTGCCCGGTGTACGTTCCCGCATGGTCAGGCATGGTCGAATCGCACCAAGCGCTACCCCTCTGTTCAGCCGAATCGGTCCGTTCGGTTCAATTCGGAGCCAAGAAGAACTGGTCGCTCGGCGACTTCGGCGCGTTGCGTAAGAGGCGAAGGGTTCCAAAACCATGCAACGTCTTGGGCTGAAGGCGCGATGGTCACGAGCGACCAGCTCCGCGCCTTAAAGAAGTGGCCATTCTCCTCGATGGTCTGCAAACAGCGAGGAAGATCCGGTGACTGCTGGGTAGACAAACGTTGGATCTGTTGTTCATCAATCCAAGGTTCATTGTGCTGATCTGGATTCGGTTGTTTAACAGCCGCATGTTCAAAGGGGTATGCCTGCAAGGCACGGCCAAATCTCTCAACAACCAAGACATGCGTTGATAAGTCAATGATGGTCAATTGTTCGGCCTTTTTTTCACTTCATGGCTCTTCCACAAACGTCCAGCAGCGCTGGCAATCCCGAGGCCCGGCAGAGACTCTGCGCCACCGGCCCCTGCCAGGAGGGCCGTCGCGTGAGCACCGCACAAGGCCGTGGCCCCGGGTCCAGCGGGGCCAATGGAGCGGTGACACCCGGCGAGATTGGCAGAGTGCTCACGACCTGCGGGCAGCTCTTGTCATGAACGAAGGAGGGGATGGATTGGAGAAGGAAAAGATTGAATGCGAGAAAATCCATCAGTTCGGGGCAAATCAAATTGTTTTCGCAACAAACCAAGAAGGGCTAGTTACATCAAAACATATCCGTTTCGTACTCTGCTTCATGTGAAAAAATTACTTATATACAGTATTTTTCCCGAGTCTGGAAGATGCGCCCAGGCTCACAGACCCTCCAGGAATTGCAGTCTTGCCTGCCGCACCAGCTCTGCTGCGTCCTCCTCGCTGATGGCGCCCGCCACCAGGGCCTGAGAGGAGGCGCCATCCACGCTTCGCCACAAGGCTTGAGACTCCTGGCAGCGGAGGTGGGCAAAGACCATTCCATCCAAAGCACTGTTGGCTCTTTTGGGCGGTGCTAAGTGAAGCACAAAGGTAAGATGCAGCCCTGCGAGTTAGCGCAACTCACACACTCACAGCAAGATGGTAGGTGTCTCAGGCCTTACTCTCATCTATCTGAACAGCAGTGCTATACTATAACACTGGGTTTCAGTCGAAGTTCCAAGACACACAGGCCAGCTGGATAAGGCATCTTGGATGAACTTACCGAATCACCCTGTGGGACAACAAAGACCACGAGATGGATATAGGAAATCCCTGAATCCCAACCCTATAGTACTGTCAAGGGCAGGTGAGGAAAAAGAAACGGGAGGCACCCAATCTTGAGCCAAAGTGGTATCAAGATTGGTGTTATAACACTTTATGTTTCGAATCTCAATGTGTCCCCTCCCAACCAACCATTCACAATGAGCATCAATGCTCGATAAGTATAATAACACATATTAAGAAATAACACCATGCAAATGAAATAACACAACATATTCCAAGGCAACCAATTGAAGTTGATTAATGGGGAATCCTTCACATTCTCACGTGTTGGACTCTGGACTTGCCCTCTTAGCTAGCCCCCCAGCTCCTGCTGAACATCTTCAATCCTCAGCTGCTTCAAAAAGGACTTCAGTTCCGCCTCGGCGCGCCTGGCCGCGGCGCCTTTGGCGGCGCCCTTCGTCAGCTCCGCCAGCGCCATGCGGCGCACCACCTCCAGCTGCTCCGCCGCGGGCCCGGTGTGCCGTCCGATGGCCAGCGCCGCGTCGGTGGCGAAGCGCGGCAGGTTGTCGGAGAAGGCCTGGAAGGAGAAGCGGACACCTGCCTCGCTGGGAGAGGTGGTGAAGAAGGCACATTCCCAACGACATCCAGCCAAGGCAGCGGAATAGAAAGGGCTTTCGAGTGCCAATTGTAAGGATTTCAACCACATCCGTCCAGCTGCGCGAGATCTGGGAGATGCATCCAGGATATTTTGCGCTGGTAGCCAGAGGGTCAAGGTCACCACCGGTTCATCGCCCAGCGGTTCAACGCGCTCGTTGAACTGTCCAGACACGTAAACACAGCCGGGAACCACCCACAAAGCTTCTGGGATGGCAGAAGCTCCAGCGTTCGGAACTAAACGAGCTCGACAAGCTTCCGACCAGAGAACGCCATTGAAGCCCGTTTTGCTTTTGATGGACTCCTTGGCAAGACATCGAGAATCGGAGGAGAGCATACATGAATCAAATCACTAATTGATCCCAAATCTTATCATCATTTTTACACACATACCACACATACATACAACTGTTCATTCTGCAAGTTTGTGGCTCTGGTATCTTCGGATCCGGCTTTGCCTTTGGCTTGTTGATCCTATCCGCTCTGGACAAGTAGACGTTCAGGGGCGGCGCGCACCACCATGACGCCGGCCCACTCGTGAGCCACTCCGCGGCCTCCGTGCGTCGGAAGGACAGCTCACCGAAGGGCAGCTGCAGGTTCTCGTCCCGGCGGCGCCGGAGCTCCCAAAGGCCCAGGCGTGCAGACGTCGCGCTCGTCGCGAGCGTCAAGCGTGCCCGGCGGGGCGTTAGGGAGGGGAAGACCTTGCCCAAGGCCTCGGTGGCTTAGAACACATGGAATGCCGCTAGTGGGAGCAAGGACGCTACTAGGGGCTCCTGGCCTTGCTACTAGGAGCAAGGACGCTACTAGGGGCTCCTGGCCTTGCTACTAGGAGCAAGAACGCTACTATAGGCTCCTGGCCTTCCTACTAGGAGCAAGAACGCTGCTAGAGGCTCCTGGCCTTGCTACTAGGAGCAAGAACGCTACTATAGGCTCCTGGCCTTGCTACTAGGAGCAAGGACGCTGCTAGAGGGTCCTGGCCTTACTACTAGGAGCAAGAACGCTACTAGAGGCTCCTGGCCTTGCTACTAGGAGCAAGGACGCTGCTAGAGGCTCCTGGCCTTACTACTAGGAGCAAGAACGCTACTAGAGGCTCCTGGC